GATTCTATGAAAAGCCTCTCTCAGGACTGCCCAGAGGGATCTTTGCAGCGCTGGAATGAAACCCTTGGAGGTGCCAGGTGTTCCCAGGCTCCATACCTGTTGAGTGCCATGGTGACAGTGGCTCCCTGCTGCATCTCCTGGGACGCTGCCACGGCCGCCTCTGCCAGCGATGCCACCGCCTGCGTGGCCTCCGACGCCTGCGTCGTCTGGATGGTCATCTCACCCCCCTGTAGCGTCGCCCAGTTCTGCTCCACCTGCCAGGGACAGCACCAGGAGAGGACAGGAGGGTTGGGTGTCGCCCTGTGGGTGGGTGGCTGCTCCCTAAAGGGAAATTCCTGAAGCGGAATTCCTAAGGTTTCAAGGAGTGCCCGCACAGTCCTGCCAACACTCCGGCTCTGAGGGGGGGAAAAAGAAAGGGGAAGGCCTGGCTCCACCTGGGAATGTTGCTGGGCAACACCACCCTCCATCAGCATGTTCCATAAACATCCATGAAGGCCCTCAGCCACCCACAGATCCCTCTTGTCCGGCCAAATCCGCCACAAAACGGGACGACGTGGTTGTTGCCGTACCCGGATCACGGGCTGGGATTTGATGAATTAGCTCTGCCAAATGGCCATAAATAAAACACAACCAGTTCCACCTCAACCTGAGGAAGAGCCTCTTCCCATGGAACTCGGGATCAGCTGCCCAGGGAGGGTGTGGAGTCTCCAGAGACATTCCAGCCCGCCCACATGAGCTCCCGTGTCACCTGCTCTGGGTGGCCCTGGTTGGACTGAGTGACCCCCAGAGGTCCTTCCAACCCTAATAATTCTGGGATTCTGTGTTTCTGCAGTGCTGGAACCCCGGCATGGATCAGATCCCTCAGGAAAACGGGCTGTGTTTGCCTCACAGTTTCCATTTGCATCATCCACTGCCGTTTTGGGGAACGATCCATGTTCCCACTTGGGATTTCTTTGTACAGCACCTGCAAATTCCAAGGGGTTTGAGCCAACTGGGATGTCTCTGTGCTGCTCAATAAAAGATGATGTGGATGGAAGTGATCTTACAATTCCCTGGCTCCAGACCTTTCCATTAATAAATATTATATTACTTAAAGTTCACCCATCTCAGTCGCTCATTTCCCACATTTCTCCGTTTGGGATTTCACAGCCCACAAGACAATGAATGTGTGGCCACAAAACCCACCAGGATGGGAACTGGAAATATGGACTGAACCCAGAAAAAAGCTGAGGAAGTGGAGGATGAAGGCCCATCACCCAAAATCCTACTGGCTTCTTTGCATGGTGATGAAGATCTTCCTCCAACTCCCATCCCTGCTCTCATCCCCATAAACCTTTTGGGGCCACTCCTGGTGAGTGGAGACACACAAATGCTGCAGAAGGTGAGGGGAAAAACCCACCTCAGTCTGTTCAGATGGTTAAAATGGTTAAGAAGGTAAAAATTCCATGGAAATTTTGCTGCCTTCGGGCAAGACAAGGATTAATCCCACCACTGGAAGGAGAGGGAGGGAGAACATCTGCCTTCCCACCCACCGTCCCAGTGGCTCTGTGCTCCCTAACAGGGATGGAACAAGGAAGGAAGGAGTGGAAGGAGGGACCTTCCAGGCTCTTCTCCCCACTGACATGAAGGTTTTCCTGCTGGGATATTCTGAAAGGATTGGAAACAACCCAAAAAATGATCCAGTTCCACCCCGGGGGGAGAGACACCTTCCACCGGACCAGGTCGCTCCGAGCTGGCCCGGGATGGATGAGCCCCATCCAGCCTGATTTGTGCCTCTGGAAAATTCCTTTCAGCTCTCAAAAAAAACCCTTGGAAAGCCTCGGGGCAGCTGCCAAGTGCCTCAAGGTGACTGCAGGCTCCTGGGCCGTGGGATGGCAGCAGGGGCTGCAGCTCGGCAGAGCTGTTCTGTGCTGCCACCTCTCGCCGGGACACCCCGGAGGGACCTGCAGCCTCACTCACAGGGGATTTGGGGGCGAGCAGGGGAAAAAGGAGTGAGTTTTAAAACAAAATAATTCGTGTTTTTGAAGGAATGTTCCTCAGACACGCAGAAAAAAAAAGTGTTATTTGGTTAAAAAAAAAAAAGCAGCGGGAAAATAAATGTGTTCATTTTGTGAATGAATAAATGTGTAGGAGGTCGGGATCAGGCACTGGAGTGCCAAACAAAATACAAAATAGATAATCTATAGGAGGTACATTGAAATGC